AATATATATTAACACATATTTTCCAGATTTATTAATATATATTAATTATAATTAATAAAATATTATTATTATAATAAAATATCTTATCTAGAGAGAGACTAGAGGAAGACATGAGAAAAATAGGGGCACATAGTAAGTATCTTAGAGCTCAGACAGAAGAGGTGATCTGTCAATCAAGAGGAGGTGGTCATTGACCATAAATATTGTGGAGAAATATTGTGGGCTCTCAGAAGCGAAGTTGATTTTCCCCTAAGAAGAGCAAAAGGGGAACCTATTTTTGGACTGGACTCCCAATAGGCACTGAAACTGGGAAGAAGATAGCAATGAAAAGTTGAACCCTATTCTGATATTCTAAACTAATACAATCTCCTTCAGTACAGAGGTATAGTTAATTTTTAAAATCTATGATACTTGTATTTTTTTTAATTTTTTTATTGGAGTTCAATTTGCCAACATACAGCATAACACCCAGTGCTCATCCCATCACGTGCCCCCCTCAGTGCCCATCACCCAGTCACCCCAACCCCCCGCCCACCTCCCCTTCCACTACCCCTTGTTCATTTCCCACAGTTAGGTGTCTCTCATATTTTGTCACCCTCCCTGATATTTTCACTCATTTTCTCTCCTTTCCCTTTATTCCCTTTCACTAATTTTTATATTCCCCAAATGAATGAGACCATATAATATTTGTCCTTCTCCAATTGACTTATTTCACTCACCATAATACCTTCCAGGTCCCTCCACATCGAATCAAATGGTGGGTATTTGTCATTTCTAATGGCTGAGTAATATTCCATTGTATACATATACCACATCTTCTTTATCCATTCATCTTTCTATGGACACTGAGGCTCCTTCCACAGTTTGGCTATTGTGGACATTGCTGCTAATAAACTTTGGAGTGCAGGTGTCCCAGCGTTTCACTGCATCTGTATCTTTTTTATTTTTTTAATGAATTTTTTAAAGACTGTATTTATTTATTCAGGAGTGACACAGAGAGAGGTGTGAAGACGTAGGCAGAGGGAGAAGCAGGCTCCCTCCAGGAGCCCCGGGACCATGACCTGAGCCAAAGGCAAGCACTCAACCACTGAGCCACTCAGGCAACCCTGATACTCATATTTATAGTTGCAGTGATATGTAATAAAATTCATCAATAGAATGAAGGGAGGGGATCACACAATCATCTCAACTGAAACAGAAAAAGCATTTTACAAAATGCACCACATTCACAAAAGTAGTAATACAAGGAACTTCCTCAACATAATTAAAGATGTCTATGAAAAATACACAATTATCATATTCAATGGTGAAAAACTAAAATCTTTCCTCTCCATATCAGGAATAAGACAAAAATGCAGCTCTCATTACTGCTAGTCAATATTGTACTGGAAGTTTTAGCCAAAGCAATTAAGCAAGAAAAAAAAAAGCCATCTAAATTGGAAAGGAAGAAATAAAACTCTATTTGCAAATGACATGATCCCATATAGAGAAATTCCCAAAGAATCCACACAAAAAAAAAATTAGTAGAATAAATAAATTCAGCAAGTGTGTTCTATAACCCACAATTAGCAATCCAAAAACAAAATTTAAAAAAACAATTCACTTTACAATAAAATATAAAAGGATAAAATACCTAAGAATAAATTTAACCATGAAGGTGAAAAATTTGTGCACCAAAAATTATAAAACATTGCTGAAAGAAATTAAGGAAGACCTAAATAAATTAAAAGACATCTCATATCTGTGGATTGAAGGATCTATGACATTAAAATGGCAATACAATGTAATCCCAAATAAAATTCCAATGGCTTTTCTTGCAGACATGAAAAGCCAATCCTCAAATTCATATGGAATTTCAATGGGCATGCCATATATACAAAACAATATTAATAAAGTACTTCAAATTGGAAGACTCATATTTCTCAATTTCAAAACTTACTACAAAGCTACAGTAATCAGAAGAGTGTAGTACTGGCATAAGGATAGACATATAGATGGATAAATAGAATTGAGAGTCCATAAATAAACCTACACATCAAGGGTCAATGATTTTTAAGAAGGGTATAAAGACCAAGAATAGTCTCATCAACAAATGGTACTGGGACCCTTGATATTCACATAGAAAAGAATAAAATTGGATCCCCACCTCACATCATATACAAAAATTAATACAAAGTTGATCAATGATTTAATTATAAGAGTTATAAAATTCTAAGATGAAAGCATAGAGATAAATCATCATGACCTTAGATTAGGCAATGAATCATTAGAAATGGCATCAAAAGCATAGCAACAACATTAATAAAATAGATAAATTGGACATTATCAAAATTAAGAACATTTGTGCATCAAAGACTCTATCAAAAAAGTGAAAAAACACCCCATAAAGTGGGAGAAAATAGTTGAAAATTATATGTTTGATAAAAAGTCCAAAACCCAGAATATAAAAAGAAGTCTTACAATTCAAAAAATATAAATAGCCCATGTGTAAAATTGCAAAGGACTTGAATAGACATTTCCCCCAAAGAAGATACAGAAATGGTCAGCAAGCACATGAAAAGATGCTCAGAAGGGAAATGCAAATCAAAAACCATACTTAGATACCACTTCACACTCACATGAACGGCTATAATCCAAAAGAATGAAAATAGAAGAGTTGGCAAAGATGTAGAGAAATTGGAAATCTTATGCGTTAGTGATAAAAATATTAAATAGTACAAAGAACTATGGAAGCAGTCTGAAATTTCCTCCAAAGTTAAACATATGACCCATCAATTCCACTGACAGACTTACACCCAAAAAAATTGAAAATAGGTACTAAAAAAATACTTATACACAAACATTCACACTGCACTATTCACAATCACCAAAGGGTGGAAACAACCCAAATGTCTATTAACAGATGAATGCAAATTGTAGTATATACATGCAATGGAATATTATTCAGAGATAGGGATCCCTGGGTGGCGCAGCGGTTTGGCGCCTGCCTTTGGCCCCGGGGCGCGATCCTGGAGACCCGGGATTGAATCCTACGTCGGGCTCCCGGTGCATGGAGCCTGCTTCTCCCTCTGCCTGTGTCTCTGCCTCTCTCTCTCTCTCTCTCTCTGTGTGACTATCATAAATAAATAAATAATTTTAAAAAAAGAGATAAAAATCAATAAAGTACTAGTGCATACTACAACATGAATTAATGTCAGCAACTGCAGAGATAACATTTCTCACTTAGCTTGGCAAAAATTTAAAAACATGACCATACATGCCATTGTGGGAAACACCCATGCACACATGGTTGGTGGCAGTACCAAATAGTATAAACTTTATTGAGTAGAATTTAGTGATATTCCAAGAAAACTATGTATAAATTTACCCTTTTAAACAACAATTACACTTGTAGAAATTTACCTTGGTGTTACACCTCCAACAATACAGAAAATATGCACATGGCTGTTCATTGAAGCATACCTGTAATAGCAAAATCTTGGAAAATACAAAAATGCCCCTATAAAGGAGATTGGCTGAATGTCTAAGTTTGTGTGCACATGGTAGTATACAACACAATTGTAAAAAGGGGGAAATTGCTATGAACTGCCTCAAGGTAATTTTCAGGATATATTGTTAAATGAAAACAAGTTACAAATGAGTGTATTGGTGCAATAAGAAAAAAAGGAAATTAAGGATTCAAGTAACTGATTACCTTTATCTTACACAAAAGTTTCCACAAAACTGCTATTCAGCACTTTCTATGAAGTCAGTGCAAATTTACTACAAAATCAAGCAAGGACAGTATGAGAAAGGAAGGTTACAGTCCCAGCTCTTATGAACATAGGTGTAAAATTCCTTAAAAATAGCAAACTGAACCAAATGATATGAAAATGATAATATCCAATAATCACATTAGATATGGGAGAAATGCAAGAATGATTTAAGGTTAGAAAATCTGAAGTGGGAGTGCCTGGCTGGGGCCAGTCAGTTGAGCGACAGACTCTTGGCTTTGGTTTGGGTCATGATCTCAGGGTTGTGGGACCAAGCTCCACGTAGGGCTCTGAGCTCAGCATGGAGTCTGCTTGGGATTCTCTCTCCCTCTACCTCTACCCCTCCCATTTGTGTGCTTGTTCTCTCTCTCTCTCTCTCTCTCTCTCTCTCCCTCTCTCTCTCTCTCCCATAAATAAATAAATCTTTTTTAAAAAGAAAATATGTAATGTAATTTAACATATTAACAGGAAAAAAGCAATAAATATAATTTCACATAAATTAAGGAAATGTTTCTTGTCAGGAATGAAAGAGAATTTTCTAAACCTATGATAAAAGATGTCTATGAGAAACCTAAAACAGACTCTATCCTAAAAGGGGAAATTTAAGAACCTTTTATTTTAAATCAGGTATCAGACAAGAATATGCACATCCTTACTTCTATACAAGTCCTGGCCTGCACAAGGAGGCATTTGAAATGGCATAAAGTTTGAAGAGAAAAAATACAATTGTCATAATTTGCAGATGATGACTGACTACCCAGAACACTATAAGGACCACATCAAAAAATTAAAATCAACAGAGAATTTAGCAAGGTAGCTAGTAACAGACAGTACATAAAAGTCATTTTTCTACATTAGCAACAGAAAGAAATACTAAAAAAAATTATCCACTGCTTACAATTTTAAAGTCCAAGCCCATAGGAATAAATATAATGAAGACATGCCAGAACTCTACATGGGAAAGATTATTTAAATTTTGTAAAAGGACATTAACAAGACCCAAACAGATGAAAGACGTAACAAGGCCAAGATTAGAGGACGAAAGGAGGGTAGATTTGAAAATACTACCTGGCCCTAAGGAGGATGTGGTTGGGAAGTAACTTGGATGTCTGTCATTGGAATACACAAAGAAAGGCTAGTCACAGCATGCCTCTGCTTTGCCCTCCTTCTTTCTCTTGTCCTCTGAGCTGTGTCTGGTCAAATCCAGCAGGCCTCAGCCAAGACCTACCCACTCATCCTGCCAGCAGCATGAAGTCTGCACTGCTTCTCCAACTCCTATTGATTCACTTAACACCACAGCAGGTGCCTGGGAGCCCCAAGCAACATTTTATGAGTAGGTTCTGGGTCTGGGCTCTGGGGAAGGATGCAGCATTTGTAGAGATGAGAGGATCTGAGGGCTGAGGATACACATTATGGAAAAAATACAGTATTATGTTCGAGGGTCCTAGTTTTACTGTCAGTAAGATCCAGGTTTGAATCTCTGCTGTGTGCTTACTGAGTGGTCTTGGACAAAGTGTCCGGGCCTCAGATTTTATCTTTGCAATGGATATAATGACACTGGGACAGTTGGGAGAAGAAACAGAAATAATGCATGCATACATAGAGCACTCTTAATGGACCATGATAAATGCTCAATAAGAATTAACTACTGTAAATATTATCAGCCTTATCACCCAGTGTAGTCTTGCTGCCCTAGTTTCTTCATGGATGCTTGCACCAACTTTTCAAGCATTAAAACCGAAGCGCCTGGGTGGCTCAGTCGGTTAAGAGTCTGACTCTTGGTTTCAGCTCAGGGCATGATCTCATGGGTTGTGAGATTGAGCCCTGCGTTAGGCTCTGTGGTCATCAGAGAGTTTACTTGAGATTTTCTCTCTGTCCCTCCTCCCCTCTCTAAAATAAATAAATAAATCTTAAAAATAAAACAGAGAAGAAAATTAAGTTGGTAGAACTCAAGCCAGAACCTACAAAATCTCTGCCTTGGAAAATATTTGGGAAGGAAGGAATGAAAGTCTTACATTTTATTCCACATTTTAAACATTCAGAGGTACCTACACAATTACCAGTGACTATCACCAATGGCAAAGTATAGAGTCCATCTCAGCAGCCACCATTGCCCAGCTTAACCGAACAAGAGTGCTGACCACAGTTATGTTGACCTTGACCAATACCAAATGGGAAATGAACTATTATCCACCATACCTCCACTCTTCTATGAGGAAAGCATCCTCAGAATACTGAGGGCTCAGAGAGGGGTATGTGTACTACCTCAAGTGTCTAAGGAGGCAAGTTTCTGTTTTAAGAGTTTCAGAGAGGGCCCACACATTTGTAAGGCTGAGGGAGGCTAAGCTAGATGGGAGAGAATGGGGGAAGGGTAAATTTGGAGAATCAAGGACTAAAATTTGAAGAGAAACACAAAAAGGTCCCTGAAAGACTGGTAAGTCTTTGTAAGACTGGAATCACATACCCAGAAGAGGAGGTAAACCTGAGAAGGTCCACCTCTCTGAGATCCCTGGCTCACAGACTCCTTCCCCACACTGTCCTATTGATTCCCAAACTCCCCAAAGTGGGGACCAGTTCCAATTTTTTTGCACTGAGCTAGTGAGCCATGGGATGACCAGGAGATCCAAGGTGAGTGCTGTATACTGGTCTCTGCCAAATTGTCAACAATTTGAGCCTTGGCTTTTTTTCTCTAGTGCCATTTGCTGTTGCAATTATAGCACCAATTTCATTTTTTTCTTTTTTTCATAAATTTATTTTTTATTGGGGTTCAATTTGCCAACATATAGAATAACACCCAGTGCTCATCCTGTCAAGTGCCCACCTCAGTGCCCGTCACCCAGTCATCCCCACCATTTTTTCTCCTTTCCCCTTTATTCCCTATCACTATTTTTTATATTCCCCAAATGAATGATACCATATTATGTTTGTCCTTCTCCGATTGACTTATTTCACTCAGCATAATACCCTCCAGTTCCATCCACGTTGAAGCAAATGGTGGGTATTTGTCGTTTCTAATGGCTGAGTAATATTCCATTGTATACATAAACCACATCTTCTTTATCCATTCATCTTTCTATGGACACCGAGGCTCCTTCCACAGTTTTAGCCCCAACTTCATTAATCATTTGTTTCTTCCAGGTCAATATGACACCATATGGACTCCCTTCTAATTGCAAATACTTGCAAAGCAATAAGTCAACCGGGGCTTATAGAATACTACACCTATAGCATTTGCCCCAGAGAAAGGTCAAGTCACAAGGTACAAAAATTGTGGCCTGTCTGGGCTTCAAGAACAGGGATAATTGTACTTATCCTTAATGCCTTGGAGTTCAGGAACAGAGATAAGAATGTGAGTTGGAGCCCTACAGAAGGATCTCCTGGTGGAGGTATTCTTGACTTTGACCCAAGTACTGAGGGATGGGGGAAATGGGATATTAGCATGAAGATGTTTATTCTTCTCTAATAGTAGAAAATGGGACATCCTGGTGCTCTGGCTTCCTTAGCAGAAGAAACCTGGGAAGAAAGAGAAGCCAATCTTTATACCTTATTCCAAAATACTCACCCTCGGACAGGATAAGCACTATTATACTATATGTTGGCAAATCGAACTCCAATAAAAAATATACAAAAAATAATAATAATAAAATTAAATTAAAAAAATAAAAACAAAACACTCACCCTCAATCCCACGGAATAAGTTACCCCTAGAACTCACATGTGATTTGGGTTCTAGCATTCTGATTCCAGTATCTTCAGTGTATTGTTTGGTCTTTATCATTTCCCAAAACATTCCTTCCCATTCATTCTTTCTCTACACAAATAACATATGTTAGGTTAACTTTAGGACAGACTATGTTGTTAGTGAGAGGTTGTACAACCCACTTGGGGCTACACAGCGAGTCAGTGCAAATGCACCTACACACCCCTCTCTTGCTTACCACACACTGTTCATTTCCTCAAATATGAAGTATCTGATCTGCAAGGATGTTGCATTGTCAATGAGGGCAGGGTTCTGCTGACCTCTGTCTCCAATCAGATACCCAAGCTTCAGTTTTCCCTGCCAAGAACTCAGAGAAAGGCAGCAGCTAAGGACAACATTTGATTCCACCTCCCTATAACTACAGGAGGAAGATCAGGGAGGCTAGTTTTCTGATAGTTCCTAGGGCTTTTGGAGTTCTGGATGTTACTCCAGTCCATTGTTTAGGCACTTCTCTTTTCTGTTATGTATTCCAGAGTATATCTTGGAACCCCCACCCTGCAGATCAGATCCTGGAAACTGCACTCAATTCTGTACAATACAGGAAGATTGCAAAAACGGACTTCAGTGCTGTTCTGCCTTCTGTGGGATAGTCTGTTCATTAAACAAGAATATAAATTATGACAGGTAAGGGGCTTCTCTTACCCAGTTCTAACCCAGTTGCTTTGGGAACTCAACAGAAGAGTCTATTACCAGCCCCTATACTGGATCTATTTTTCTAACATTCTCCTTCTCTTTACCAAGAATAATTTTCTTAAATGCCTTGAGTAAAAGAGGCTTTCTCCATTCCCAAACTACATAATGTTTCTCATCACCACATTTGTAAATCTCGAAATATGCCTCTCTAAACACAACCACAAACCACTCCATCAACAGACCCTCCCTGTCCCAGAATCCACCTTTATCCTGAGGCCTGGGACATTATATCTGGGCTACAAGTCTCACCAAAATCCCAAAGCCAATTTGTTTTCTTTGTTTTTGCTTTCCCTCTTTCACCAAATACCATCCTTTGGCCCCCAGTTTCCTGGGCTCTGGAGATACTTCAGCCTGAGCAAAGCTTTGGTTAGCTGCTGAGGCATTAGCACTGGCCCCAAATCTGCTGAATGGAAGTGCTCCTAGAGCAGAGAAAGGGCATTAGAGAGTTATGAGACAACTGATTTCTAATTCTATCTTTCAACTATGACTTTCTACTACCTTGAGCAATACAATTCTCCGTGTTTGCCTTTCTTTCTAATGCATAAGATGAGTACTCTTTATTCTAGCCTTGTGAGGTTGGGCCAAAGGCTCACAAGGCAAGAGACTCAATCAGTGACCCTCTAAATTGTCTTGTTCTTTGCTGTATTCCCTCCCCTGAGCACAATAACCAACCTATGAGACAAGACACAGAGTGATGAAGTAGGGGCTCAGAGCCAGATACCCAAACCCAAATCCTAGCTCTATCACTTCTTAGCTGAGTAACCTCAGACAAGTTAATCAACCTCTCTCTCTGAGTGTCAGCTTCCTTCTCTTTAAGACTTGAACAACAATAGTGACATGAAAATAAATAACACATGCAAACTCTAAAGACATTACTTGACACCTATTAATTATTCAGTAAGTTTTACAACTAGGCAACCATATCTCTCTTAAGAGATTAGTCTTCAGAGTGAAACTTCATACCTTTCAAGGCTCTACCATGCAACACAGAAGCATAAGTATGACTCTTTGTTGTCACTTGTTTCTTTGAGGTTCTGCTTTCCCCATGGCAAGAAAGCTTAGCTTCATGGTCTAGTTTTAATGAGGGAAGTAATGGAAAATTAAGTATTATATTTCTAAGAGAAAAACTGCACTAGAGAATATTTGAGAATATTTTTTTCTACAGAACCAGTCACAAGAACATAAGAAAGGTCATGGTACAACCTAACCTTACACCTAAAAGAATTGGAAAAAAAGAACATCAAAGAAAGCCTAAATCCAGCAGGAGAAGAGAAATAATAACAACTAAAGCAGAAATCAACGGTATAGAAATAAAAAAAACACTAGAAATAGATCAACAAAACTAGAAGCTCTTCTTTGAAAGAATTGACAAGATTGATAAACCCTTAGGCAGACATCAAAAGAAAAGGGAAATGACTCAAAAAATAAAAATTTTTTAAAAAATTTTTTTTGAAAGAGGACAGATCACAACCAACATCACAGAAATACAATTTTAAGAGGATTTTATAAGCAATTATATGCCAACAAATTAGGCAATTTGGGAGAAATGGATAAATTCCTAGAAACATATAAACTACCAAAACTGAAACAAGAAGAAATAGAAAACCTGAACAGACCCATAACCAGCAAAGAAATTGAACCAGTAATCAAAAGTCTCCCAAAAACAAGAGTCCAGGGCCAGATGGCTTCCCCAGGGGACTTCTACCAAACATTTCAAGAAGAATTAATACCTATTCATCTGAAACCATTCCAAAACATATAAATGGAAGGAAAATTTCCAAGCTCTTTCTATGAGCCAGCATTACCTTGACTCCAAAACCAAAGACCCCACCAAAAAGGAGAATATCCCTCATGAACACAGATGCAAAAATTCTCACCAAGATACTAGCTAATAGGATCCAATAGTACAATAAAAGGATTATTCAACACAACCAGGTGAGATTTATTCCTAGGCTGCAGGAGTGGTTCAACATCTGTAAAACCAATCAATGTGACACACCACAGTAATAAAAGAAAGGACAAGAACCATATGATTCTCTTGATAGATGCAGATAAAGCATTGGACAAAATCAGCATTCTTTCTTGATAAAAACCCTCCACAATGTAAGGATAGAGGGAACATACCTCAATATCAGAAAAGTCACACACAACAACTCACAGTGAATACCATCCTCAATAGGGAAAAACTGAGAGCTCTCCGCCTCTTCCCACTCTCACCACCGTTGTTCAACATAGTACTGGAAGTCCTAGCCTCAGCAATCAGACAACAAAAAGAAGTAAAAGGTATCCAAGTTGGCAAAGAAAAAGTAAAACTCTTGCTCTTTGCAGACAACAGGATACTCTATGTAGAAAACCCAAAAGACTCCACCCAAAAATTACTAGAACTGATATAGGAATTCAGCAAAATAAAATCAATGAACAGAAGCATGTTGCATTTCTATATGCTAACAATGAGGAAGAAGAAAGAGAAATCAAGGAATCGATCCCTTTTACAACTACACCAAAAACCAAAAGATACCTAGGAATAAACATAACCAAAGAAGTAAAAGATCTGCACTCTGAAATCTATTTAGAACACTTAGGAAAGAAATTGAGGAAGACACAAATAAATGGAAAAACATTCCATGCTCATGGATTGGAAGAGCAAATATTGTTAAAATTTCTATGCTACCCAAAGTGATCTACACATTCAATGCAATCCCTATCCAAATACCACCAGCATTTTTCACAGAGCAGGAAAAACAATCTAAAATTTAATGGAACCAGAAAAGGCCCCAAATAGACAAAGAAATGGAAAAAGAAAACCAAAGCTAGAGGCATCACCATTCTGGAATTCAAGGTCTATTACAAAACTGTAATCATCAAGACAGTATGGTAATGGCACAAAAACAACACATAGAGCAATGGAACAGAATAGAGAACACAGAAATGGACCCTCAAAATTCTATGGTCAACTAATCTTCCACAAAGCAGGAAAGAATATCCAATGGAAAAAAAGACAGTCTCTTCAACAAATGATGTTGGGATTGGTCAGCCACATGCAGAAGAACGAAACTGGATCACTTTCTTACACCATACACAAAAGTAGACTCACAAAGGATGAAAGACCTAAATGTGAGACAGAAATCTATCAAAATCCTAGAGGAGAGCACAGGCAACATCCTTATTGAACTTGGCCACAGCAACTTCTTGCAAGACACATCTATAAAGACAAGGGAAACAAAAGGGATAATGAACTATTGGGACTTCATCAGGATAAAAAGCTTTTGCACAACAAAGGAGACAGTCTACAAAACTAAAAGGCAACCTATGGAATGGGTGAAACTATTTGCAAATGTTTTATCAGATAAAGGGCTAGTATCCATAATCTATAAAGAACTTACAAACTCAACACCCAAAACCCAAAAAATCCAGTCAATAAATGGGCAGAAGATATGAACAGACATTTCTCAAAGAAAGATGTACAAATGGCCAACAGACACATGAAAAAATACTCAATATGACTCGGCATCAGGGAAATACAAATCAAATCCACAATGAGATACCACTTCACATCAGTCAGAATGGCTAAAATGAACAACTCAGGAAATAAGATGTTGGTGAGGATGCAGAGAAGGGGGAACCCTCTTACACTATTGGTGGGAATGCAAACTAGTGCAGCCACTCTGGAAAACAGTATGGAGGCTATTCAAAAAGTTAAAATAGAACTTCCTTAGGACCCAGCAATTGCACTAGTAGGTATTGAACCAAAGAATACAAACACAGGGGGATCCCTGGGTGGCTCAGCGGTTTAGCGCCTGCCTTTGGCCCAGGGCGTGATCCTGGAGTCCTGGGATCGAGTCTCACGTCGGGCTCCCGGCATGGAGCCTGCTTCTCTCTCCTCCTGTGTCTCTGCCTCTCTCTCTCTATGTCTATCATAAATAAATAAATAAATCTTTAAAAAAAAAAGAATACAAACACAGTGATTCAAAGGGGCATATGCACCCCAATGTTTATGGCAGCAATATCCATGATAGCCAAACTATGGAAAGAGCCCAAATTTATTGACAGATGAATGGATAAAGAAGACGTGGTATATACATATACAATGGAATATTACTCAGACATCGAAAAAAATGAAATCTTGCCATTTGCAACAACCTGGATGGAACTAGAGGGTATTATTTTTTTTAAGATTTATTTATTTATTTATGATAGACATAGAGAGAAAGAGAGGCAGAGATACAGGAGGAGGGAGAAGCAGGCTCCATGCCGGGAGCCCGACGTGAAACTCGATCCCAGGACTCCAGGATCACGCCCTGGGCCAAAGGCAGGGCCACCCAGGGATCCCCATGAACTAGAGGGTATTATGCTAAGTGAAATAAGTCAGTCAGAGAAAACTAAATATCATATGATTTCACTCATATGTGGAATTTTTTTAAGATTTTATTTATTCATGAGAGGCACACGGCGGGGTCGGGGCGGATGGGGGGCAGAGACACAGGCAGAGGGAGAAGCAGGCTCCTCACAGGGAGCCTGAAGTGGGATTCAATCCCCAGATTGGGATTATACCCTGAGCCAAAGGCAGATGCTCAACCTCTGAGCCACCCAGGAATCCCTCATACATGGAATTTAAGAAACCAAACAGATTAACATAGGGGAAGGGAAGGAAAAAGTAAGATAAAAACAGAGGGAGGCAAACCATATGAGACTTTAGAAACAAAACGGAGGGTTGCCGGAGGGGAGGGGAGGCAGAATGGGGTAATTTGGATGATGGGCATTAAGGAGGGCACATGCTGTAGTGAGCACTGAGTTTTATATGCAACTGATGAGTCACTGAATTCTACCCCTGAAAGTAATAACACAGTATATGCTAACTAAATTGGATTTAAATAAAGAAGATGTGGTTTATGTATCCAATGGAATATTACTCAGTTATTAGAAACGACAAATACCCACCATTTGCTTCGATGTGGATGGAACTGGAGGGTATTATGCTGAGTGAAGTAAGTCAATCGGAGAAAGACAAACATTATATGGTCTCATTCATTTGGGGAATATAAAAAATAGTGATGGGGAATAAAGGGGAAAGGAGAAAAAATAAGTGGGAAATATCAGAAAGGGAGACAGAACATGAAAGACTCCTAACTCTGGGAAACGAACTAAGGGTGGTGGAAGGGGAGGTGGGCGGGGGGTGGGGGTGACTGGGTGACGGGCACCGAGGTGGGCACTTGACGGGATAAGCACTGGGTGTTATTCTATATGTTGGCAAATTGAACACCAATAAAAAATAAATTTATATTAAAAAAACATAAGTGCAAGAGAAAACATTTGCTTCAAATACATATTACACTAAATGTCATATTATTTTAAATA